ACAAGATTTATGTGTGTCAACCGCAAAGGCTAAACTTACAAACATTTATCTTGGCAATAATAATATCGAGGCACAACAAAAACAACAAAAAACAACGACAACAATGCAAACAAAAGCAACAATTGGCGACAATACACAAATAACGGTAATGTAAAGTGAATGAAAAAAAGTTTCGTGTTAAACGGCGACGGGTCTCGCATCGGTCGTTCTGATATCATTTTTCATGCCATTGACAGGTTACAATATGCGAAATTAAATAAACCGCAACAATAAAGCCAACAAGTGCGCTGAGAGCAACAAAGGTGACAGGTGAGGCAGCAACAATAAAAGCATTAGGGAAATAAGTGAAGCGCGCCCACCTGTACGCCGCACCACTTAATTCAATTCATTGCGGCATGTTCTTCATGATAAACGCGCTGCCATCACTCAACTCTGCTGTGCCGAAACGAACCGAACTGGGCTGTGCTTTTAAGTGCAAAGCTTTCGACAAATTGCTTTTTAAAATTTGCTAAAGAACCACAAGCAATAAATACAATAACAACTATTATTGTTGTGCTAAACATAGCAAAAGAAAAGTGAAAAAAAGTCGAAAAATAGAAACAGCAACGACACCAACAGCCAACACTCCAATCACGCCTAAGAGCTGTAGCGCAGCGAACCACGTGACTGTTGAGCGGTTGACCGCTTATGCTCTGTGCCGCTTCTAGGAATTAGTGTAAGTCACTTTTTTCGGTTAACACCACCAGCACTCAAACCACAATAACCTCTCTACAACAAAAAGCAGAAAAAGCAACAGCTTTGCGAATAACAACAGTTGTCCACCATACCAGAAAACAAACTGTCTGCTTTGACCTCCCGACTTCCACTGACTTTTTGCCACTTGCCCCTATTTCTTTTACCATTTATCACTTTCGCTCAGCCAGCGTTCTTTGTGTTTATTTACTGGCTTGCTTGTATGTGTGTGTGTGTGTGCTTTTTATGCTTTCTCCCCTCGCTCACCTGGCCACCCACGTTCGTGTGGTGTAATCAATCACTTTGGCACGTTCGATGCGAAAGAAAATCGGCGAGCCACCAATATCCGCTTGTTTGCGTACCAACGCTCCAATCATGCCGTCGAATTTGCCATTCTTCAGGTAGCCCCAGCTGGCAGTCTTCGACATGACGAAACTGCAAAAAAAAGTTTGACAGCGAGCAAAAAGTATGCATATTTAACAGGATATATATGTAAAACATATGTATGTATGAAAAATTTTATTTTTTTGTGTTAATTGAATTTTACATGATTAAATTTGTTTCCAGACTAAAACAAAAAACAACAAACAAATATGATTTATGTAACTTTTTCATAATCTCACTTTTTATATACAAAAAAATTTACTCATGATTAATTCTCTTTCGACTCTCTCATGAGTTTCAAACTGTGGGCCGATTATAATTTAATGATAAATTATTGGTAACAGTTCTTTGTAACCGTTAATCGATTTCTGATAGGTATATAAGAGAATAAAATTTAATTTACAGTCAAAGTAGAAGGTGGTGAATTATAATTGCATTATATTGTGAAAAAAGTGAGTTGAGAACTGACATTAATAGATGAGAGGGAGAGTAGGTATCGTATTGGTGACACTTTAATTTCAATATTGTGTAAGAGTATGTGTATGCCTCGCCCATATTTATGTTACATTCTCTTATAGACAAGTATTACCAATTAGAAGAGCAAGTTTCGTTAAGTACATATCCTTCCTGCTTTATAGCGTAATATTTTATAGCCAGTTTCGAAAACAGAAAAAAGCCGCAGAGACCCAAGTATGGCGAATTTGGTGGATGAGTGATGGCTCACGTTTCATGTTACAGTCAATTAGTATTCCTTATTGATATTGTATGCTTCTTGATCCTATGGAACGAATTCATAGTAAACCACAATCACGATAATCAAACAAATCGACGAACAACACCTTGATTCATGAACAACTTAGACGTTGTTTGTTCAGCTTCGGTCCATTTGTTGAGCGCCATGTTGTTCGACAGTTTCGGTATAATATTCTTACCCCACGTCTCGTCACCAGTAATTATGCGATGAATGAAGGGTCACCAACTACGTTCTCAAGCATTTCTTTTGCGAACGCTACTCGACGTCTATTTTGAAAAATATTAAGATCTTTTGTTACGAGTCTCGCATTGACACGCTTTATCCAGAAAGTTGAGGTGTTGAGATCCTTTGCTTTCTCTTTGATACCAACACAACGATTTTCAAACATTTTTCCTTAACTTTTTCGATGTTATCTTCATTAACAGAGGTAGATTGACGACTCGCAGGAGCTATACTTTCGATGACTTTACGACCTTCACTTTTCTGTGGTAAAAATAGCCACACAAACCTTTCGCGTCGTAAATAAACAGTTACCAAATACGTACTAATTTACATATGGAATGATTTCAAATTAACTAAAATAACCTATCAGAAAAGACATTAAAAGGAATATATTCCGTGTTAATAATATATTAAATTAAATTCGTTTCGAACACCTAGCATTTGAGTCAGTCAATTTAAAGAATTTGAAGAACAGAAAAAAATGCACTTGTGAAACTATTATATGTTCCATTAATATTTCAAAACTCCATTTTCATCGCCAAGGATATATGATCGGTCCTATTAGTCGACCTGAGCATATTTAATCATGGCCATCTGTTTGTCTGTTTATACGTTTACTAATTCCTCAATTTTTGAGATATCGATCTGAAGTTTTACACACGTTCTTTAAGAAATGCACCAGTATTATAGCTTCGCTGCAACCGAAGTTATTTTTTCTTTTTTTTTTAATTTAAAATAACAAACAATCCTCAGATACTAGAAAAAAATAGGTATTTTAAGGAGTACTTTCGATCATTCGAATTAAATATTTACTGATTTCCATATCGCAATTCAAATATAACGCTTTCAGCTATACAATAAGTATACACGAGTATATTATGTATTTGAAAATGGAAAACCGTGTTGCATAAGCAATTTTCTTTCATTATCTTCTCACTCATAATACTTAACACTGGGGAAATCTTAATTTACACATGACTATCGACAAATTGTTGGCAACAGCAAAAGAGTTGTATCTAAGCTCGCCACTTATGTGAATGTGAGTGGCTGTCGAAAAAGTGAAAATGTGAAAAAGGGATAAATAAGTGTTTAGTTCGGAAAGTGACGAAGCATGTCAGAGTAATTCGTACATATTTTGCCATTTTCAATTTGTTGCCACACTCACTTTAATCAGCGCAACACACAATCAATCAAAACACTCAGGAATAAGCGAAAGAAGGGAATTTCAAATAGGGAACTATAAGTAATGAATGTACATACAAACATATACATTTGTAAAGCACTCTTTTAGATGTGTTGATGAAAATGAGGAATCTTTGAATGAGATAAAAATAAAATTTAAAAAAAATAAAATTCGTACAAAAAGTTCCCGTTTTTTTGTGCAAGACACAAACGGGAAAAGTATCGAGAAGAAAGCATTGCGTAACGAACCTGAAATTGAACAAGTCCCTTACGTTCGAGAGTAGTGCAAAATTGAAGCGATTCATTGAATCCAGATGTGTGTCGTAGTGTGCGGTTAGATAATGCTCCAGAGTATCCGTGAGATTTTTGTTCGTTACCTGCAAAATAAATACACAGTGAGTGCTGAAAATGCTATGATTCGACCACAACAATAACAAGAACATAAATATGTGAACAAATGTGGTAAAATAAATTCTTTCTCAAATATATTTGCAATAGAAACTTAGAGAAAAAGTTAAGACCAGCTGAAAATGTAACGTCTTGGGAATAATCATTTAACGTGACAAGGAAACGCACTTTTTTCGGTAAAATTAAGTTTAGAAAGTATACTTTTTCACTAAGAAAGGAGTACACATTCTCTTTAAAAACTGCAAAGAGTGTAAAGAGTAATATATGGAAAAGTTATGTTTGGGTAATTGTAAAATATTTAGATTGTCCCGAGGGTGTTATTTTATGCAATTGCACACTAAAGACGAAACAGCTTAATAGGTTTTTCATGCACACTTGCTAATGTACCAGAGTGCTCAATTACTATGCTAAACACTCTTTCTACCGAATTTAGTGTTTACATTTTAAAGGAAGTGTACATTTTTTCCCCCCATTTTTTGTGGATAGGGTATATCCAACTCATAACAGGCACTTAACTAGATTTTAATCATATTATAGCTTAACTAGAAACCACATCCATCATTAACAGCCTGAATGTAGGCAACGATTTGTTAATTGCCAAAAGCATTGCCTATAATTAGGAGTAAGTCTGCAATAGCAAAAGGGGGTTTATAAATACAATAAATAAATCAAAAATAGGCTTCGGAAGAGAATTTCAAAAATTTGCTAAGTGAACGCTACTTCGATTATTGTAGTAAAGTTATTAAGACTAGAAAAGGACTTAAGTAATGCTTGATCACCTTAGATACTCAATCAAAATACAATATATGTAGATTAGCCTATATCTAAGGACCTTAACAATTAACAAAATAATGAATAATAATAACGAAATACTGTTAGGTTAGGTTAGGTAGGCCAAAACGTAGCGCCGAATTTCAGTTGGACGGCTATGAACGTTGATTTTTCCTGATACTCAAAAACTTCTAAAAATAGATCATTCGATCCTCATAGATCGCCAAGGCGTTTTGCGCTTACCACCAATTTATTTAGGCAGTTAATATGACTCCCAAAAATTTCGCTAGGTTCGCCAAATGTACGGTTAGCGAGATATTTCAATCTCAGTTTTGCAAAACTGGGCAGTAGAGAAGAAAGTGGTGCCTAGGTAATTCCACCTCCCCATCTTTGGCAAAAAGAGTCCAACAAAGTATTCAGCTTATTGGACAGTATAGACGGTTGCAGAGCATACGGGATGTCTAAAGGGCCAGAGCTATAGCGCAAGATGACAACGGAGCATCGACTAGCTTCCAATCGGATTTAATTTGGCAAGGGAGTCTTCTAGCAAGCTCATCAGTGGTTTGCAATTCCAAACGATTCCGTTGTCCCCAACTACCCAAATATGTCTAATATGGAGGAAGTTTGATGCTTTTGCTAATTAGGTCCTTGACTGGCTTTAAGCCCACAAAGCGAGCCATTGCATCCGCTCTGCTATCGGAGTGTATATGCATTTCTCCGAAGAAAACAGAACTTCTATGAATTATAAATTTAATTATAAATAACTGGATATTAAATCAACATTAGGATCCAGAAATATTTTTGCTACTCTATTATTATATATAAAGTAAATGACTTATTCTTTGGCAAGTTGTCCCATTTATTGTGTTCCTAAGAGTAAGTGCTTTCTTTATTGACTTTTAGGGGTCGAGCATATTTACTCTAGTATTGATTCCTAATGAGTTCCTTTG